ACAAAACAACAAAACCTTTGCCCAAGGATATTGTGAAGGCCAAGTCTAAAGCAGGGTTCCAAAAAGTAGTAGATAAATTCATGGAGGAAAGGTCCCTCAATGGCTAGTAGTTAGGATGGGTGGGAATTATATCCCTAGACTCTGTTTGCCAGAAGTTGGGAATAGGCAACAGGATGAATCACTTCGGCTACATCTAGATTGCAGCACTTTTCCAGGATACCAGAGGAAAGAAAAATTTCCAAGAAAGCGGACACATTCTTTCGCCATCCCTGTAAACCTCGTTTTACAAGGAAGAAGGGATGGCTCAAAAGAGCAGTATTTTCTGAAATGCAGTGCTGCTTAGATGTGCCAAATTTCGGAAAAGCCTCTTTTGAAAGAAAAGCAGAAAAAGATATGCAAATTGCAGTTTGCAATTTGCGTATCTTTTTCTGACTTTTCTTGTAGTCTAGATATAGCCTTGATGATTACCTGTTCTGTTCATTCCCTGTGGGTCACCTGGCATTGGCCACTGTAACTTGAAAGACAAAATACTGGACCATTAGTCTGAGCCAGGATAGCCGTTCTTAGGTACCTAACTGCAAAAGGCCATATCTGGCTTGTGAAAGAGCCACATCTGATCTGGCTTGAAAAGTACTCATAGCAAACTGACCTGTGAGCCTGCATCCACCTGAGATGCTCCTGACCCAGCCTGGCCCAGTGGAATTCAAGCCAACAGAGGCAACGCTCTACATTTAGCTTCAACTGCATTTACTTTCAATCAGCACAGCTACTTCAAAAAAAATTAAATCTTTTCTTAATTGTATTGTTCCTTGTACATGCAGTACTATTCAGCGCAGTTTCATTGGCAAACATGGAAATCTCTTTCAATACCATACTCCAAGTAATTTATATGTAAACAACAAAAAGCTGGTCCCAACACTTCCCTGCAGCACTCACCAATTAACCTCCTTTTTAGCTTTTTACTGCTACCTTTTGTTTCCTGCCCTTTAGCCAATTTCCAGTACACTGTGCCAACTTTCCGCTTACTCCATGTCTGTCTTTTATATTAACCTATGAGGCAGAACATTTTCTCAAATGCTTTCTGACAAATTCAACCACTGGGTAAGACCATCTACTGCTTTTTTCACTTCTTCTCTGGCTCTGTAGCCTAAAAGAATTCCAAGCCAGTGAGATGTGACCTGCCATTCCTGAAATCCCCTGGATTCTTCTCTCCAAGTATTTAACCAATTTGTTCCTTTAAATGCTGCAGTCCTAAAGGTTTCTCCCAAACACTGATATCAGTCTAAGATTGTGTGGTTTCCTTTTACATACTGTGACGTCTTCAGGAAGTTCTTTAAGCACAGACTTAATGAGAAAAGTTCTCCAGCTTCACATCATTTAGTTAGACAAACAGTCAGGTGAAGTAACAAGGGCCAAATTGTGCTATCAGACACATTCCCCTTCCAACAAATAGATGAATAATCACCTGAAGAATCATAAGACCAAATCTTATCTCCCAGATGCAGGTGCAAGATTCCTAATGCCATTTCCTAATATGAATTTCCTATTAAGATTTGTCAAATGATTATTTCACTATGAAAAATAGATACATAGCATACCACTGTGAAATATCCTTAACCTTGGTAGTCTGTTTTGTGCTTCTTTGGTTCTTTATAAACGGTTCAGTTTTCTAGAGCTGGGAAAGCCTTCCAAAGTTTAGCTCATACCAGTTAAATCACTGAATGATGATTATCAGACCTGGATATGTGTCAGTTCCTCTCATGGGCTAGTACAGTTAACAGAATAAAATTTGATTCCATGTAAAATGGAAATTATATTTCCCTACCTTTATATAATTAATTATTCAAGGTCTGCTGATGAGCAAGTGCTATAGAACTTGCAAGAGATACTCTATAAAATTTACTTCTAAATGCAAGTTCCTCAAATGGCAGCACAGGACTTTGCTTCTTTGTGTAGTAAGGCGGGTTCCTGACAATATAAAGATAATATTTGAGAAAGAGCATCGTTCTGTGCGTGGGAGGGTTTTTGGCACCTGTATTTGTTTTCTCACAGAATTTGGTTTCTGCTCACTCTCTCTCAAGATTGCTAGGGCTTGTATTCTTCATCTTCCGCTTCTGGCCCCATGACATTTCTGCTGGCCTTAGCTATCAAAAGATGATGGAAACAAAGTTCTTTGAGAGGAGGTTCCCGTGGGTACTCCACGCCAGGTGTTGGTGCATCCCTGCAAGGACACATAAGCACCTGGCATGGAGTACCCACAGGGACCCTCATCTGAAAGAACATCAGCTACTTGGACAAAGTGAGTAACCTAATTTTTGCTGCAATGTGATCAGGCCCTTGCAGAGTCTGAGATTCAGCTAGCATACATGTTGTGCACATGATGTTTTGGAATTCAAATACAAACTGGAAAAACGAATAAGATCTTTATATTGCATGAATGATATAATTGCTGCAACAATTCTCAAGGTTGATCCTCCTGAGATATATTAGACCTGGAGTTCTGGAAAGTAGAGGCAGAACTGAAGCATTACACTGGCACAAAGCAAATCTATTGCAATGATGAGGGCAGAAGGGCTGATTCTTTGGCTTGGAACAGCAGAGCTGGCTCCAAAAGTAAGAAATAGTGCACACTGGGGGAAGGAGAGGGGGGCAGGGAAAGGACAGGAGTGAGAATGGGGAAGGATGATGGATGCTATCAATATACTTAAGTGACCAGAATCTCTACGTAAGCTGTCTTTCAAGCTTCAATGCAAGTGCTTTTTAGTCAGGATTTGTTAGTTTGGCAGTGTGCGCATTCTCCCTGCTCCCTCTCTGTAGTCATTACTAGGGCACTCATATCCGTAGCATGGAGGTTTCAACTACTAGTTCAAATGTTGGCAACAGTTGAGCATTTGCTGAAGCCAGTGGAACGTGCAGAACGCTCAGGCTCTGACTGGATGAACTGGAGAAATGGTCTGAGGCAAACAGAATGAGATTAAATAAGGACAAATGCAAAGTACTCTGCTTAGGGAAGAACAATCAGTTTCACACATATGAAATAGGGACTGGTTCTGTTCAACTTCTCCATCAATGATTCAGATATTGGCATAGAGAGTACACTTATTAAGTTTGCAGATGATACCAAGCTGGGAGGGGTTGCAAGTGCTTTGGAGGACAGAATCATACATTCAAAATGATCTGGATAAACTGGAGAAATGGTCTGAGGTAAACAGGATGAAGTTTAATAAGGACAAATGCAAAGTACTCTGCTTAGGGAAGAACAATCAGTTTCACACTTACAGAATGGGAAGCAACTGTCTTGGAAGGAGGACTGTAGAAAGGGATCTAGGAGTCATAGGGGACCATAAACTAATTATGAGTGAACACTATGACATTGTTGCAAAAAAAAAGCAAACATGATTCTGGGATGCATTAACAGGAGTGTTGTGAGCATGACACGAGAAGTCACTTTTTCCGCTCTACTTTGTGCTGATTAGGCCTCAGTTGGAGTATTGTGTCCACTTCTAGGCATCATATTTCAAGAAAGATGTACAGAAATTGGAGCAGTCCAGAGAAGAGCAACAAAAATGATTAAAGGTCCAGAGAACATGAGCTATGAGGGAAGACTGAAAGAATTGGGCTTGTTTAGTTTAGAAAACAGAAGACTGAGAGGGGACACGGCATTAGTTTTCAAGTATCTAAAAGGGCGTTACAAGGAGGAGGGAGAATAATTGTTCTCCTTGGCCTCTGATGACAGCACAAGAAGCAATGGGCTTAAATTGCAGCAAGGGAGGTTTAGGTTGGACATTAGGAAAAACTTCCCGACCGGGTGAATGAACACTGGAATAAATTGCCTAGGGAGGTTGTGGAATCCCCATCACTGGAGATATTTAAGAGCAGGTTAGACAGACATCTGTCAGGGATGATCTAGACCAGTGGTGCTCAACCTTTTTTAATTTGCAACCCCCAGGGCCAGGAAAATTTTGGTTGGGGAGGAGGGGGGCGGAAGGTGCCGGTAACATTTTGTTGCGGCCCCTTCAATTTAAAGTGCCGGTCCACACCCCTGCTACTCCCTCCACCCCCGCCACGCGTACATTGGGCGCCAAGCTGGGAAAGCAAAATGGCGGCTGGCCCAGCGCTGCGACCCCCCCCCCAGGAAGACACTCATGGGTTGCACACCACTGATCTAGACATTGCTTAGTCCTGCTGTGAGGCCAGGGGACTTGACTTGATGACCTCTCAAGGTCCCTTCCAGTTCTAGTGTTCTATGATTACAGGGAGGCTTATGCAAAAAGGAGTTTTAGATGAGGCTCTGAAGACATCCAGGCTTAGACTCACTAGAGACAACTCCAGTAGGCCACTACAACATCCTGGGCCACCAATTGAAAATGCCCTACCTCCTGACATGGACTGCTTCATTCCAAATACCAGCAGCTACCAAGAATTGGATAGTGGTGAACTGAAAATGTTCTGGAAGTCAAGTCTCAACTGTCCAAAGGCTGTTAAAATTAAGAATTGGGTTGAGGGCAGGTATGGAGCATATTTTGTTGTGCCCTGGCTATTTTTCCGCCTTAGACACTGGGATTCTATGCTGTGTACAAGCGGCAGTTTTCATGTTACCATGCAAGAAACCTGCATGTTACTGTGCAAGAAACCTGGGACTCCAGTGTCTAGGTTCTAGTCTCTTATTTCAGAAGTTGACATGAACTTTAAATTCTATGGCAGGAGCATGTTCAATCACAGAAATGGAAATGTAAGGGGAAGAGCATTTTGTGCCAGTGAAAAGTGAATCCTTGGGCTGACAATGAAGCAGCTGCAAAGTCACATCCAGTGCCCCTTAGGCAGAAGGACATTAACCAGGACACTTAGAAGACGGGAAGGCATCAGGGGCCCTGACAAGGACGTGTACATTCCTGGGGC